CAGAAGCATGACTCATAGCTGAGTGCAATAAAAGTACTGGTACATGATTTTCTCTCTCTTATATGCATTGGCATAACCAATTTAGTTGTTTATGATAAGCTTAAGCTTACATGATGAGAATGCACCCAAGGAAATGCTAGGTTAATAGCCACAAAAAATTACACAAAAATGGGAAACCAAATGCACAAACACAAACAAAAAGATATTTACATGCTTTGATGAGATCAACCTACGTCCATTACAAAAAGACTAGATAGTTACTAAACTTCAACCTATGTCCATTATATATATATATGAAAATATTACACTTCATATAAATAAAAACAAAGATAACACTTAATTTATGTCACCAACAAAGAGAAAATGCAACCATCTATTGCAAAGACAATGGCTGGACATGGAGAAGGAGATATAACTGTTATAGTTACTAGTCCCATACTCTATTGCATTAAGTTCAATCAAAAGCTCATCTTATTTATGGAACTAAAACTACCATCACCTCCTCGAAGAAGTAGAAAATATCCCCTCAACAAGCATCATAAAAACTCTTCTATCGATTAACACCACATGTGCTCTCTCTCCTTTTCTTTATATGATTGTGATTGTGGGCTGATCTTCAACACCAAGCAACTACCTCTTATAATAATTAGAGGTGGTGAGTTAACAAACCGGTAAAGATTAGTTAGATGCTGGTATGTAAATATGATTGTACATGTTACATCAAGGGTGGTGTATAAAGAGAGGTAAGTAAGAAACTTATACAGGTTGGGTATAGAAATTTATCTCCACATCTTAGCAATAACCCATTTGCAGATAGAATTTCTAAAGTATCTAACTTAATATCCAGCGCCTAAACAATTCTCTATATCGTGCCTCCATATCATCATTTCAAGATAATTTAACGAGTACCACTTTTGTGAGCATATCAGTGGAGGAATAGCCCTCACTAGCGTATGATTTCATAAGGTCCTGCCTTCTTAAAAGTTCATATAAGGGGCCTTTCAGGATTTAGATATACCAATACTTTATCACCTAATTCAAATTTTGTATGTTTCCCTTTCACATCAACAAACTTATAATTAAAATAAATAATAATTAATTTCCAGCAAATATCTTTATGCCGCATCCTGATTTATACTAATAATGATTTATAACTCATTATTAGATGATGATATGACAGAAATTAAACAAAAAAAAAACAAACCATAAATATGATATGCCTATATATATATAAAGACAACCTCTTTAAGGAAAAATAATCCAAATCACTTCAATATTAATTGGGATTAATTCTGCAGTGCTAGGTTTGACTGAACTTCATATTTCTCCATAAGATTCTCTTCATGAGTTTGCACATCTAGGAACCAAAAAACTATAACAAAATAAATATTAATTTGAACATTCATCATAGAATAATAGAAATAAATAATATCCCAAGAACTTTCTAACAATTAGCTAAATTGATTTATGAACTATGCAGACATAATTTGTTCTCTTTTACATTCAGAAATCACTTTATTAGTCGATCAATTGACTCATCAACCATGGTAGACATTATTTGTTCAGCTTTAAATTTAAAAGTAGATTAAATTACGGATAGAAGCTTTTACTCACAATCAAGATTAGATTAATATTATAATTGCAATTTAGATTATGATATGATCGCAAGCTCACTTTCAATTTCTATTTGAGACTTAAATTAAAATTTCCTCTTATACTCAATTTTGGGGGCTTTAACTATTACTCAATAATGAATTCATGCACATGAACATGCGTGAATGTAGGTGCATAATGAGTTTCAACAATATCAAAAGAATCCATTTGTAAATGTAAATATTTATCTAATTCAACTTCAAAAGGATAATCATGAAAAAAAATTTCTTCAAATCTATTCTATCAATATATGTTTAACATGACGACCACACATAGTGGGATAAAGATTTGTTATTGTAATATATGTTTAACGGACTTTGAAGGAGATGGTAATATCTTCCTTGATAAACCTTAATTACATGAGCGAATTGCCCTAAAACAATGATCATAATATGCTTCAATATTAAAAGATCTAGATAAGCCTCGAATAGTACTTTTTTGTGAATTGTAACATAATTCACTCATAAATCTTGTGTGGGGATTCAAATGAAATAGATAATGGCAACAAAATAACATCAAGTTTAATGATTTATAACTACAATACTCATAAACCAATCTTAATATTCATACACAATGTTCACTTTCTTATAATACATAAATTGTTCATGTAGTTGATCCGCATATTCACGAAATAATATATATTTATTTTCTAAATCTTCGAAATTATCAATCCTCTATGGAAATTTCCTAAGATTATATCTCTAATCGAATGTAGGAGTGTAGAAAATGCGTACAATTCACACCAAACAATAATGAAACACCCATCAAATTTTAAAATTTTATAAGAAATTTAAGACTGAATAAAACCATTTAGAGATTTAAAGTTACACAAGAAAAAGAAAAGCAGATATATAATATACTTGAAAGAATCTCAATCTTGCACATAGAATCAATCAAAGTATTTAGTTGAAAAGAACAAGGATAGAAATCACCAATTAGAAGATCAAAACCCCACGCTGGTTTAAGGAGAAACATCCACGGAAAGTTATCATCGAGACTTGCACTGCTAAAAAAATTTACAACCAACAACAAACTCAAGTTTGAGAGAAAACAGAGAAAACAACATTTTTTATTAAATAATTCTTAAAAAAATACATGCCTTGAGGTTCAATTTTTACCTAAAATGACCCACAATTAGTAGTTTTTAATAATCCTCAAAATTCTGATTAAAAAAAGCAATTTTCAATGCAACAATCTTAAATTTCAGCTAAAACGACAATTTCGAATTTCAGCACCAGCAAAGACAAATAAATTTTCCTTGATTTTAAACAAATCACAGAAAAGGAAACTAGCACAACTGAACACTGAAGCACATGGAACAGAGGATCCCAGATAATCGGCAACAGACGATTTTAAACAGCAGCAATTACCAAGTCCAGCTACAGTGGGATAGCTATAGGTGGGAATCTGCCAATGGAATATAATTATATAATTAACACAACAAGGAAATAGTTACGAATGTAAAACTCCATGCAATAGCAAAGCTTCGGCTCCTGCTACAATGCAGAGCTTGATGGAAGGATTAGACATCATACCTCTCTTCAATCCATCGAGGAAGTCTCAATCACTAGATCTTCAATGTTCCATCCAAAAGTCCAAGGTTTTAGTTGTCATAATATGAGAGCTAAATACTTACAATAGGAAAAATAATCTCAGTTTTTGCAACTAACCAGGCTCATGCACGTGTTATATTGGATAACATTACCTTCTGAAGCATGCATTTAACGGAAATAAATCTGATCTCAAGTCTAATATAGGCTTCAGAAAGTACGGCATTTTTGTAGAGAACAACAGAAATAATTTGAGCCAACGTAAAGCAACATGGAAGGGATAAACAATACTTGTATCGTCTAAGGAACATCTGAAAAAATTAATTAGAATAAAGATGGTGGTATAAATATTGATATAATTCAATTAGCATTCAAGAGGAATAGCAACTGCCAACTAGGAGTGTTAGAAAATTGCTTTAAATACAAAGAATAAAATGATTATCAGAATCTATGTAGTTGAAAATCTTTAATTTGCTGAGAAAGAATTGGAAGAACTCTACAGTCACACTTTTTGAATGACTAGATCAGGAAAGAAATTATACATATAATTCTTATCTGACTGTGTGAGATATTTGTACGATAAATAAGATCTCCATCCATTTTCCATAAAAAAAGGATCTCCATCCTCTTTAGTAGATGATTATTAAAAGACCTAATAAACTAGGTGTCTCTCATTGGTCATCATGGGCGGATCCCCCGTGTACTCAGGGTAGGCATTTGCCCACCCTATAAAAAAATAATATTTAGAGGGGATATTTTGGAATATTTTGGGTATTTTGCCCCCTAAAAATCTTGTTTGTCCTAATTTTATCAATCCTAAACGTCCTTGTCCATCCGACAGAAAGAAAATTTTGTCCACCCTTAAAAAAAGAAACTGGATCCGCCTCTGTTGGCCATCCCCAGCGCAGCACCAACACAATTAAATACGTTATTTCTATGAGATACTCACAAATTCCTGATCAGGACATAAAATTTGCTGTCAATGGGATCAGCATTTAATGTATCACACTTAATTTTCACAACAATTGACTCATACGCCTGCCTAATCTTGCTCCCAATCAAAAGAAAGGGGCCTTGGAGCAATCGTGTGGTTCCCCCTCCATTTGGATCATAGAGGTCACAAGTTTGAATGCTTTCTACAATACAAAGATAAGTATGCATACATGAACCTTCCCTTTATCTTTATGGCAGAAGTTTTGTACATTGTGTGTTACCATTATCAATCTAACCACACAAAAATCAAATAACCATCTCTAAACCATAATTTTGACTCAATAACACATCAAACAAGATTTCATGTAGGGGGTACAAAATCAGGCAATAAGCCAATCCCATGCGATTTGGCAAACCTTTTCATGAACCTAGAACCCACTGCCATAACCAACTAAAAAGCTTTATCCATGCAGACAGCTACCTCTAAAAAGCATACTGGTTAAACTTTTCCTCTTTTAAAGGTGAATAGCATGAACTGAGAAGATCCTTTCTTTGTAAAGAAAAGAAATGCATGACAATATGTCATAGCCATCCTTCCAGAGAAAATGAAGATGAACCCTAGTTTCCAATGAGGTTTAATACAACAGCACAAGTTCAATTAAAAGAAATAATACAATAAAGCAAAGGAACTAAGAAAGAGCTATAATCAGGATATCTTTTGACTAATATTTCTGCTACGTAAATATGTAATGCATCAAAAACATTAAATTTAGTAGAGAATTCCCAAAGTATACAGCAAAATTAAACCAAATTGACAACCAACCTGCCAGCGATTCCCAAAAAAACTAGGCAGAAATTGCCAAATTAGAAAATATAAAGCCGTGATCCCTTTATTTATAGTGCCGATAAGAACTAAAGTCGCCAGTGGTTATAGTCACATACAGCAAAACAAAAACTAATTGAACAAGACCAATACATATTTTGTATGCACATTCCAACAGAAAAATCTAAGAAATCAATACATATTGTGCATTGTCCTATTCACAAAATTCAGCATAAGAGAGTTATTAAAAGATGTGCATCACAAAAAAGCTTACAGAGAGCAAAGCCCTCCTTTCCATATAGACCAGTCTGTCTGCTCTTCATCATCCTCTTTACTCATTATTCCAATTCTCCTAAAGCCATGTGTTCTCTTATATCACAGTACCCACACCGATCAAGTAAATCTCAATGTTGTGACCACTTTATTTTTTGGATATCAACCCCTTCCTTATCCAACTCATAAAGAGGGCTCATATCTCTCAGTTTTTTAACTGTATGAACTATAAACTTTATGGTATGATCGATCTCTGCTTCAGTGGTAAACCTACCAATCCCAAATCTTATCGAAGTGTGAGCCATGTCCTCGTCTACTCCAAGCGCTCTTAGCACATAAGAAGGCTCGAGACTGGCGCTAGTGCATGCGCTCCCGCTAGAAACAGCCACCGCTTGTAGTCCCATAAGCAAGCTCTCACCTTCAACAAAAGCAAATGACAGGTTCAAATTTCCAGCATAACGATGTTCGATGCTCCCATTCACCACCACTCGATCCAGCTTCTCCCTAATTCCTTTAAGAAGCCTCTCGTGCAAAGCCGCAATCCGACGGCCATCATACTCCATCTCCTTCATGGCAATCTCGCAGGCCTTGCCAAAACCGACAACAAGCGGCGTAGGCACAGTGCCGCTGCGGATGCCACGCTCCTGACCGCCTCCGCTCATCTGAGGTTCAACCCGGATCCTCGGGCGACGGCGTAGGTAAAGTGCGCCAACACCCTTTGGACCATAAATCTTGTGCCCGCTGAGCGACATCAGGCCTATCCCCATCCTTTCAACGTCGATGGGGATCTTTCCTAGAGCCTGAGCAGCATCAGTGTGGAAGGGGACGCCCTTCTCCTTGCAGATTTTTCCGATCTCCTCGAGAGGTTGCACGACGCCGATCTCGTTATTGACTGCCATGACAGAGACGAGCCCGGTGTCGGGTCGGATGGCTGAGGCAAGGCGTTCGAGGTCGACAAGGCCGTCAGAACGAACGGGGAGGTAGGTGACATCGAAGCCCTCCTGCTGTAGGTGGCGACAAGAGTCGAGGACGCACTTGTGTTCCGTCTGGGTGGTCACGACGTGCCTCTTCTTGTCGCGATAGAAACGCATGACGCCCTTGACGGAAATATTGTTCGACTCGGTGGCTCCCGAAGTGAAGAAAATCTCCTTAGGGTTTGCGCCGACGAGAGCTGCAACCTGCGTGCGGGCGGATTCGACGGCCTCTTCGGATTCCCAACCGTAGAGGTGGGTGCGGGAATGAGGGTTTCCGAAGCGTGCGAGGTAAAAGGGGAGCATAGCGTCGACGACGCGGGGATCTACGGGGGTGGTGGCTTGCATGTCGAGGTAGATGGGGCGGCCGGAGATGCGAACTCCCTTCATCGTGATGATGCCTTCCTCGTCGGCGTCTACAGAATTGGTGTGAGGCGAGGAAAGTTCGGCGGTGGCGAGAGAAGCAGCAGAGGAGGATGAGAGGGGACGCGACGAGAGAAAGATGCGGCGGACGAGGCCAGCGGCGGAAGGGAGGAGCTTCGGGAACATGGCCTTTGGAGTCATTGATCGGAGGAAAGTGAACGAGGATGTAGTAGTGGTGATGATTCAAGAGGGGAAGCTGGTGCGGGATTTGGACGCGTTGGTTTGCTTGTACCCTAACAATTAAACTACGGTGCAAAATTAATTTATGGTTTTTCCTTTCTAGCCAAAATACCCAAAAATATCTCCCAATTTATGGTTTTTCCTTCCTAGCCAAAATACAAAAAAAAAAAAATCGGCCAATGTAATTTCAGCAATCTCTAAGCTTAATAATAAAATGTGTTTGTATTCACTTGATTTTTTCAGTCCATCTCTTCATCTTAAACAAGCAGGTGGCCCTGCTCCATAGCCTTTGTTTTCAAAAACTTTAATCACTAATGGTAATTTTAAGATATATTATTATTATTATTATTATTGCTCGGCACTTTTAAAATTGTTGCCCTACAAAATTTTGGGAGGAACAATTTTTTAAGAGACAAGTAATTTGAAAACATTATACTAGTTTGTTCCCTTTTGTAAAGAAGAAATTATTCCGTACGAAATCCGGATGATAAAAAACCGTTCGGATGTAAGTGTAAACTGAATATAATTTTATACATAGTTTGATTTTTTTTACACAGTGCACAAATACTATGTACACTCATATCCGGACAATTCTTTACCGTCCGAACTCCGCACGGAATAATTTCTCCTTGTGAAGACTTCATTTTATTTTATTTTTTTTGCTTAAGTTTCTCATTGACAAGTCTCAATACTTAATTATATCTTAAATAAGTGAGAGAACTTTCAATGAAGCATGATGGCTTGGAATATTATAGATTAGTTGTTGTAATGGCTCATGTGATGCAAGAGAATAGTTGATCCATTTCTGACTTCATAAAGGACATTGATCTTCATTATTAAAGTTGTAACCATGTGTTAGCGACAAGATGACAATTAGGTGTTTGAGATTTTGAGATATGAAAAGAATTGCACCTGTATTACTATACGAAGAGGTCAAAAAAGAAAATACTTTACAAGAAAATTAAGCTTGGGATTTAAAATGGTTTTGTCAAGGAATGAAGTGCAGGCATTGAAGGTCCTGTAATAATAATATCGTTTATGTAGATCAAATTTAGATCATACACTCAAGGTTGTGAAAACCGGACCGGACAACGAACCGGAAGAGGGAGAGGTTCACGGTTCGACCGGTTCATCCGGTTTGATCCGGTTCTATGCAGAGCCGGTTTTGAAGTTGGATCGGACCGGCCACCGGACCGGTTCACGGTTGAACCGGTTGAACCGGCCGGTCCGGTCCGGTTTTCAAAACAGTGATACACCTTTTCTGAATAAAAAATAGCCAGCTTTGGATCGGGTGAAATTAAAATAAATTATGGAGCTGAAATTTTGTTAGTGCCTCTATTAGGAGGTTTGCTTGAGACCAGCTTGTAAACTAAATTTTATTCATTTGGGGTGTCTCCCCTTTCCATTATTACTAAGTGATACTTTCATATATGCCTCTTTAAATAAGACTTCGTTTGAGACGGCTTTCATACGGCTTCTTAAAACAATATTTTAGTACAAAACTTGAAATTTTTTACTTGAAAGCTGCTATAAAAAGCAGTAAAACAGCCGTACCAAACTAACCTTAAATCTCTATGGAAAAAAGCATTGTTGGCATCTAATAGGTTGATGTCCAGCAGTAAGAGCGAGGAGCATTTTTTAATGCGACCATTTTTTTAACAAGAAATCAATTCTCTTATTGAGTGTATCTTTTAGCGAAGAGATGAGCTTTATACTTATTAATTGAGCCGGAAGAATAACACTTGATTTTGGAAGTCAATCTACATTCGACTACATGCTTTTCTCATGGAAAAAAAAACAATAAACCATGTGTGATTTGTTTCAAGAGCACAGATTTTAGCTGGCATGGCATCTCGCCATTATGGAATTTTCACTGCTTGATAGTAGTTTTATGATTCGACATGAGAGTAGCTTTGTAAGATAAAATTCCTATAAGAACTTGATATGGAGTTATAATGGTGTATCCTACACATGGGCATCAAATATGCTAGTAGAAAGTAAGTTGCAATGGTATTCGTTGTGATAAGTAGTTTTCATGGTGTGGATTGATAGGAGAATGATCAAGTTGTCCACTTGACGTGAAAGATCTATGGGAATAACAATGCTAAAAGGAATATCTTCTATGGATAATCCCTGTGACTTGGTTAGTTTCCTGAATTTGTCTAATGATTTAGAAAAGGGTATATTAAATTGTTCTTTTTGCTGATGGAATAGAACTACAAGCAATTTTCATGTAAGATTATTGTATGATTGGTCCAAGATTTACCTCTGTAATTTCTTTAGTTAGTTTTCTTTGTAGCATTTATGTTATTTTGGTTAGGATCTTGTGTAGCCTTTTGAGCCGCTATTTAGTGTCTATAAATAAACACAATAAGCTTGTTATAAGGTAATGTAATAAGATATTGAAGCCAAAAGCAAAATATAGAAATTCATTTCAGATTTCTGATCTCTCCCTCTCCTCTCTCTCAAGAACCTCTAGAGGAAGTGCTTCTTCCTCTCAGCCACGATTTTAGAATTATATTTCTAATGATTAAAAATTTATTGTTTTTGATATTAACAGGGGGGGGTGTAGCCCAAGAAGATGAATATATGAGCTCGCAGGTGAAATTTAGTTTGGTGTGCGAACAATGAGGAAATAAAAAACAGGCAACCAAAAACTCTTGAATCACAAAGGCCTCGTTTGGGACATCTTTCTTACTGTTCTTAAAACCACTTTTTAATACCAAAATTTTAACTTTCGTACAAAAAAATTGTTTTAAGAAATCGGTGAGAGAAGAATTTTATTGTAAATTCTTCATCTGCCAAACGAAAGCTTACGGAAAGCAGATTTAAGCGAAAATCTGGAATGAATAATGTATTGTGTAAAGTCAGGCGATGATTCAATTTAAGGTTCATGCAACACTTAAACTGGAATCTGCATTTGAATAGGCATAGTTATGGTTTCATTAGCGATGGGAACTAATTGGGAAAACATTCCAGCATAGGAATAAATATGTTGTGATGCTCCGTAGTCAATTAACCAATGTTTGGCTATAGATATCCACATGATTGTTAGGCATATACCTGCAAAAGTGTGAGTGTTCTTAGATGGAATGAAAGTGTATCTATAGCATGTACTTACACAATTTGTAGAAGCCTCATTTAAGTTTATGTCTAAGTGTAGATATGGAGAAAACATTGTAAACAATTACTAAAATTGATCCTTGTCTATATGTTGGAAAGGTTTGTGCATTTTTTTTGGAAGACTCATCAACTGTGGCCTTAGGAACCAAATTATTAGTTTCTGCAGGTTCTTATTTCATATATTCTTCAACTGTTTATAATCGGGAGGGCATCCATGTAGTTTATAGCATAAGTCTTTGGTATGTCCATGATACTTAGAACGCATGCAGTATGGTTGATCTTTCTTAATCATTATGTCTGGTCAAGGGTTGGAAGATTTGGCAGTGGCAATAGTTATTTAAATTTTTCATGGGGTAGCAATTGTCCATCATGAATTTTTTTTAAGAGAAATAAACATTTTTATTATTTTGTCCACCTTCAATAAATGTAATTGTCCAAATTCTAATAAATTTTTTTCTATTTCTTATATAAAATTATGCATTTCATAATCCTATTTTGACTGCTCTAAAAAACAAACTTGATTCTGCCCCTGATTATTCCCATTGTGTTCAATTTGGTGTAATACAAAGCCACTGATGGGGCAATTGAAATATCTTGGGAGCATTATTCCGTTAAAATTGATCCCTGAGATCAATCCAGATCTCTTGTACTGCATCCAAACATTGAAGGCAGGTGAATATTTATTTAGATACTGGATTCAATATCCAGTAAATCACTATATTATGGTCCAAAATTTGATGAGGTTTGGAACATTACCTTCAGAACATTTGATAGAACCATCAATGAATCCAACTTTGTGTCTTGACTGAAAGTGTTATCGAAATCTCACGGCTCAAGAAAGTATAGTTGTCTCCCATCAAGCCCAAGAAACGATAGTGATGCTAGGCCTATTTTTATCTTTTATTTTTATTTTAAGTCAATTAAGACAAACTCACAAATTACATATTGTTGCGTCCTGGAGTATTCACGGCGGTAGAGAAATAAAAGTTTAACGTCTTAACTTTGTACGAAAATCGGACACGCAATCAAATAGGAGAGAGGGTGTAACATTCATATGAGACACCAAGATTTTTACGGGGAAAACTCCTGAAAAGGGGGAAAAACCACGGGGCCTAGCCAGTTTGAATGAATCCACTAGTATTGCATTTGATTACAAATGAGGCCCTTCGTTGGGGGAAGGCCTTAACTTGATGTACATCTTATAGAGTACATTACATGATGAGAATACAAAGAATCACTACCGATGTGTTTGTTTGGTCTGAAGGACTGTAGCTGGTGGGCGACGTAAGTCGGAACGATCGTAGTCGGCGGGTGACGGAGACCGGAAGGATTGTAGTTGGTGTGCGACGTAAGTCAGAAGGACCGTAGTCGGCGGGCGACTGAGGTCAGAATGACTATAGTCGGTGTGCGACGTAAGTCAGAAAGACTATAGTCGGCAGACAACTGAGGTCAGAAGGACTGTAGTCGATGTGCATGCGACGTAAGTAAAAAGGATCGTAGTCGGTGGGCGACAGAGGTTAGAAGGACCGTAGTCGGCGGACGACGGAGGTCAAAAGGACTGTAGTCGGTGGGCAACGCAAGTCAGAAGGACCGTAATCGACGGACCATGGATGTCAGAAGGACTATAGTCGGCGTGCGACGAAGGTCGAAGGATGACGTCAGGTAGAAATCCAGCAGTGGATAGAAATCCAACATCAGATAGATGTCCGACAAAAGTCCAACGACTGGCAGGATTCCGGCGTCACTTTGGTAGAATTCCGGCGTCAGGTAGAATTTCTGCGTCATTTGGGCTTCGGGCAGAATTCTGGCGTCACTTGGGCTTCGGGCAGAACTCCGGCATCATATATGCTTCAAACTCAAGACGTCTTGCTTGATATCCAAAGCTCCGAAACAACAATGATACCAGACCTATTGGAATGGTGGAAGTAGTATAGGTTGAGAGGGACTT